ATACTTTACTTGTCCCCCAATCACATAAAATTTGGTTTAACAAATATTTAATGTTTACTGTGTATGAGACATTGTCCCAGGGTTAGGACAGTGAATAAGAGAGGTGGGTCCCTGCTCTCAAGCCATTTGTAATCTGGAGGAAAGTATAATAAGCAAATTCATTAACAAAATGATCTGAGAGAGGAATGAGTACAACGAAAGACAACAAGATAATAATGTGGCCAGGAAAATGCTCTCCAAAGGGGAAAATATCTGAGCCACAACCTGTTTGTGATGAGAAGCAGCTGGTCCCACTGCAGCAAACTTCTTCTTACAATGAAAATGAAGATGCTACATAGCCAATACAATTCACATACACTGAAATAAAACTCCCTCAAGATTCTAAAATATGTTTTTCCCCTTAAACACCGTGGGTTGATCAGTCAGTGTTAGACACTCCTTCCAATTGGCTCAGAAAAAAATCAATCATGAGAATAACTGCACTACAAAGTACAAAACAGAATGAACCACAAAATAGAAAATCTGGAAGAATTTTGGTGCTATAAATTCAGACCCCTGGATCCAGGAAGGAAGGGAAAAGATAATCCATGATTGTCCAGTAGTAACCTGACTGCTTCACCTGACAGAACTGATTACAAAACAGGTACCTCACTGAGAAATTGAGAGAAAGCGGCCCTCCAAGGCTGCCGAGAACACAATGTCTTCAAGAGGGTTGAACCAGGAAAACAGCCTGGGATCCTGCCAAGCCGGTCCTTCCTTCCTGAGGGGGCGCCAAGGTCTTTCCATGACGCAGCCTCTAGCTCCTCCTGCCTCCCCATGTCCCCAGCACTCTGCATTAAGCATTAGATGCTGGTCCCCACTTAGAAGGTCAGCAAATCAAGAGCAAGCACACGAAAGAAGAAAATAGGGTTTAAATAGAGGCAATTCTTCAGTTTATGGAAGCCAGAGAAATTATGCAAAATAAACGTGTTCTAGAAGCAACAGAAAAAAAAACTGATAGTGATAATTTAGAAAATCGGACTGTGTCCAAAAATTAGAAACTAATTTGTTTTATTGTGATTTCGTTTTTTCTACGCTCCTATTCTCATAAATATTTTCTGCACTAAAGACGAAATATAGTTTTCAAGAGTCAGACTTGGCTCAACTGAAATTCTGTCATTTACTAGCATCTTAACACCTTCAGTAAAATATGGATAAGTCCTTATTGGTTTTTTTTCCCCACAGCTTTATTCAGGTATAACTGTCATATAGTAACATGCACATACTTAAAGTGAACTATTTAATAAGCTTTGACATATGTTTATAACTGTGAAACCACTGCTACAATCAGAATAATACAAATATTCATCTCCCCTAAAAGTTTCTGCCTCCTCTGTAATCCACCTCCCTCACCTCCACTCTCCATTTTTAGGCACCCACTGATCTGCTTCCTGTCACTATAAACTCGTTTTCATTTCTAGAATTTTGCATAAATGAAATCGTACTTTTTGTCTAGCTTCTTTCACTCAGCATAATTATTTTGAGATTCATTCCTGTTGTTACATGTGTAACAGTTCATCTTTTTTATTGCTGAGTAATATTCCATTGTATGGATAAATTACAATTGTTTAAACATTCATCTGTTGACATTTGAGTTGTTTACAGTTTGGGGGTTATTACAAATAAAGGTGCTATGAACATTCGTGGACAAGCCTTTGTATGAATGGTTTCATTTCTTTTAGTAAATACTAAAGAGTAAGTTATACGGTAGGCATATGTTTGATAGTTTAAGAAACTGCCAAACTATTTTCCAACATGATTGTACCATTTTACATTCCTCACAGTAGCATATGAGAGTTCCAGGTGCTCTACTTCCTCACCAACACTTGGTATGGTCAGTCTTATTAATTTTAACCTTTCTAGTGGGTGCATATTGAGATCTCATTTTGATTTTAATTTGCATTTCCTTAATGACTCATGATTTTGAGCACCTTTTAATGTGCTATTTGGCATGAAGGTGAGTGCCTATTCAAACATTTGACAAGTTACAAGTCATTTGTTGGATTTTAAATTAGGTATTTTTCTTATTATTACTGTGCTGTTAGAGTTCCTTTATATATTCATGTTACACATCTTTCATTTACATGTTGCAGTTATTTTCTCCCATTTGTGGCTTGGGTTTTCATTTTCTTAAACATTCTCTGGGAAGCAACAGTTTTTCATTTTGATAAAGTCCAACTTACTGATTTTTTTTTATAGTTGGTGCCTTTTGTACGCTATCCAAAAAATTTTTGCTGAACCCAAGGTCACTACAATTTTGTTTTCTTATAGAAGTTTCACAGTTAAACTCTTACATTTAGGTTTATAATCCATTTTGAATTAATGTCTTTGTATGATATGAGGTAAGCATCAAGGCTCATATTTCTGCATGTGGCTATCCAGTTGTTCAAGCACCATTAGTTGAAAAGATTATCATTTCCCCCACTGAGTTGCCTTCTTGGCAGCTTTATCAGAAATCAGTGGATCATATATGTGTGAATCTATTTCTAGACTCTCTTCTATTCATTCCACTGATCTGTATGACTCTCTTTACTCCAATACCACATTATCTTGATTACGGTCATGTTACAGTTAGCCTTGAAATCAGAGAGTGTAAGTCCCCCAACTTGTTCTTTTTCAAAACTATTCTTAGACTGGTCTCAGTACTTTCCATTTCCATATAAATTTTAAAGTCAGTCTGTCAATTTCTACAACAAACTTAGAAAGATTTTGATTGAGATTATATTGAATCTATTGAATACTTTAGGAAGAATTGAGATCTTAACCATATTGAATCCTCTCATCCATAATCGACAGCTAAAAGCTTCTCATGATCTAGCAAAAACTAAGTCCCTAGGTTTTTGGGGGTTTTTTGAACCTGCTACTTCAAGAGTTTGTTTTGTTTTTGTTTTAAGTCAGTAATCTGTAGTTCCACTTGCAACACATAAATTTATTATAGAGTAAATTCAATTATTCCACATGTAACTCTCTGAATAAACTAGACATGTCAATTTAAAATACTAAAGATAAGTAAGTATTTCTGCAATCCTGAACTTCAAAAGCACCTTTGGGCCAGATGTAGTGGCTCACACCTGTAATCCCAGCACTTTGGGAGGGTGAAATGGGAGGACGGTTTGAGGCCAGGAGATCAAGACCAGCCTGGTCAACAAGGGAGCAAGACCCTATCTCTATTTTTTAAAGCATTTTTGAACCTATAAAGGATAATTTTTAAAAAAACAAGCATGCATTCCATACATTTCCAAATATTTACTTAACAAGATTTTCTTGAAAAGAAACAACACTCTGCCCATCCTACCTACCATATCCTCAGAGTTCCAAAATACCCAAAATCTTTTTTTAAAAAAATCAAGAAAAATCTGCCCTCTGATGCATACAAATGCATGAAAAACCGTTGGTTTCAAGGTCATTTAAATGCTGACCCTCCTTGCCAACCAAACACTCACGTTTTCCAAAACACCACCAGTGGATTAAACATCTAAGTGTAATTATTTCAGACTATCATAAATACTGAAATCTGATTTACACTGAATCCTTTATTCATCCAGTGGAACAATAAGCAGCTCTGTACATGCCACCTAGTCAGATAACCTGGATCTTCCTACATTTATGACACCAAGAAGTCCTCATCTTTTGGCCTTCATGTAGGCCTCAGGTTCTCCACCTTGACTGCATGCTGGAATCACCTGGGGAGCCTAAAAGCATGGGTGATGGGGGTCCCACAGCCCAGAGATTCCTATCTAGAAGCTTTAAATGTGGGGATTTTTGAAAGGTCCCTGGGTGATTCATGTGGGTAGATTATGATGATTGAGAAGGACCAGTCTAGGCTCTCTCCAGGAAGAGATGCTTCTCATGGCCATTGGCCAATCTGCACCACCATACTTCAGAACCTAGTGAGCTCCTCTAGAGCTTTGCCCAACCTAACTCCTAATCAGACAATAATAGAACTCAACAATTCCATCTGGATGCCTACACTCACTTCTATTTCATATCCAGAAATTCACAGGATAAATGTAAATATCTAACTGTATTTTAGCAATTCCTCTCTAGTCCCCACTTCTAAATGCCACAAAGTAAATCAGGCTGAAGGGAAATTAACTCAATATAATTTGACGATTAAGGTTAAACAGTCATTACGGTTTTTGTACTTCTATTTAAAAGAAAGGAATAGCTCCACAAGCCATCTTTAATTTCAGAAAATGTACGGTAAAATTACCAATTCCACAAAGTATAAAATAAATACCTAAATGAGCCTTCATCACCATCCATCTGATTTCACCACTTGTAAATTTCAAACAGATTTTCAATACTGATATTGAGTTCAAAACTGACTCCCTCCAGAACTTAAACTATTAAACTCCTGAGAGTCTTCAAATAACGTACTCCATTTGGCTAAACCAGACTACTTTATTATAATTATCATTCCATCATCTCAAAGTGGGAACGACACCACCTGCATCACAAAGACAGTGTGAGGATTAGGCAGTAAAAGCATGTTAGCACCGTGTAGAGTGCTCTAGAAGTTTTAATTTATTTACAGCAGAAATTTTGCCTCATGGGAACTATGTGAAAAGCAGAGGCAAGTGGGAAGTTGCGGGTAGCTACACGTCAACACCCAGGAACACAGGCTGGTGATGTGGGGAGGGAAGGCGGTTAACAACCTCCTGAGGAGTCCTTGCAGCTCTTCTCGGACCAACAGCAGCAGAAACCCATACCTCAGGACTCCCACCTCGGACTGACTATGAGTTACTTGCAAGTATATGTAAATCTCATCTCCTTGGAAAACTGCTAAATAATAAAACTGCCAACGTGCAGACCCAGGCGTTCAGATCCCTGCCAGTGTAGCTCATGTACCTTTGGGATGTGCAAGCCGAAACACGTGTGCACGTCTGAGCGGCTGAACCAACATGTATCCATAAACATTATGAATAATACTCGCGAGAATGCACGGCTTTCTCCTAAGTTAGCGCTTGAAGCACTTTACCCAAATCAAGTCCCTTTCGTATCACTCCTTCCCGGCCTTTCCTACGTATCCACTCGAATGCTGAAAGTTGGAGCTCCTTACCCAAAGACTGGGCGGAAGGGGTGACCGCCCTGGACCCCTGCCCGACTTCCCGTTAGGTCAAGCAGCCGTCCTGAAAGGGGATCGTGTCCAGGCCGGCTTCCTGGAGACACACCTGCGCCTGCACACACCCACCGCGGTCGCGTCACCAGTGCCGCGGCCACCTGGACGAGGACCAAAGTCTGGAGGGAATTCCCTCAGCCATAGAGCGATGGGAAAGCGGGACCCGGGTGAGTTTTGAAAAACATAAGGGGAACGGGAGTTGGGTGGACACAAAGGGAAGGGGTCACCGCTACTCACCCAACCCTCGAAGGTGTCCGAGGCGCCGGTCGTGCGCAGCAGCTCCTGGAACTGCAGGGTGCAGTTGGCCACGAAGTGGTCGTAGCCCAGGGGCGTCTCGTGGAAGACGGCCAACTCGAGGTGGCCGCCGTCGGTGACGTTAGCGCAAAACTCCTCGTTGTACGTGGGTTTGTTGGTCTTCTGCTTGGTGCTGGTCTGGCCCACGCGCACCTGGTCCACGCTCACCGTCAGATAGGGATCCAGCAGCTGGTGGCCCTTCTTGAAGAGCGAGTGACGCAGGGACCAGCGGGTGGGCTGTAGCCCCACCGCCTCACCGATGCGGACCCTCAAATAGCCATTGAACTTCATGGTGCCAGACGACATGCCGGCGCCGCTGCCCCGGCCCCGGGGGGCCGCGCTGGTTCGCAGCGGGAGAACGCGGAGTCCCGTCTCAGGCCAGCCCTCGGGGCAGCTGCAGGAGTCGAGGCAGCCCTGGGGAAAGGCAGCGCCCAAGCGCCCCTCGACTGGCCATTCTGCCTCCTCCGTGGGACTTTTTCCTCCCCTCCTTCCCTCCCTCCCGAGGTGGAAAGGAGGGGAGCCCGCCGCCGAGCCCTCAGCGGGCCGGGGAGGCCCGACAGTCCCTTCCAAGCGCGCTGCGCTTCCCGGGGGCTCGCGCGGGACTCGCCCCTTCTCCAGGGCCGGGCAGCTCCTCTCCCCGGAGAGCCGGAGCTACCCGTCCGGTGAGCTCCAGCCCCAAGCGTCTCTTCCCCCGCCTCCTCCTGCTTCTCCTCCTGCCCCCGCCTCCGAAGGCTCACGCTCTCCCCCACTCGGCGAGCTTCAAACCAGGAAGCAACTGCCGCCGCCGCCGCATTCCCGGGCGAGAACCTCGCGCCGCCAGGTTCCAAGTTCACAGAACCCCTGCGCCCGCTCCAGCGCCTTCCGGACCCCGGGGGCGTGGCGCGCGGCCCGCGGCCAGGCCCTGCGGTGGGTGGATCCCCGCGCAAGCCCCCGGGAGTCCAGTGCCCGCTTGCACCGCCCTGCGCGCCCTCTTTGTAGGGCTGGGTCTGGCCGTGCGCTGCGCGTTAGGGGCCACCCCGGGCGCAGGCCAAAAAGGAAGGGGTTCGTGGCCCGGCCTGAGCAAACACCTGAGGCGTGGGAGACTGGCCTGGTGAGGGATGGAAGGTTGGGAGGACGCAGAGGAGGGCGCTCCAGCCAGGAACCCGCGCAGCGAGGAGTCGCCCGCCCCCTCTCTCCCAACCTCCCCGGTGGGCTGGTGACCCTGTAGGGCCGTCCCCAAGAGGCCCTGGCCGGAGGCGGGCGAACGGCGGGGAGGTTCTTTTTCCTAATCTTTACAGGGATGGCTCATACCGGGGTCAGCTCGAACGCATCCTGTTTGTGCGCCTTTCCTGCAGAGGCTAATTACACAGTTGTGTGTATGTGTGTGTTTTAATAAGGCAGTAGTAATGATGGAAATCCTGTTCTCCTCCTTCCTCGGAAGGTGTGCCTCGTTGCACAAAGAGCAGGAAAAGTCGGTTCTTCTGGAGACAGACATGGCCAAGAGGTAATAAGTCTTTTCCTCTGCTGGTGGTTCCTGGTCCACCCAGCCCTGCGAGGCAAGGGCAGAAAATGTTCACACACAGGCTGTCCCCAACACACACGTGGAAGAAATTGACTCTTCTAGGAACACTCCATGTTGTTGTATTTGCAGAGTGGCGGGCGTTCTGATGCTTCCCACCCCATAGCCCCTGCAGATTTTGTCTCCGAGGAGGGCCTTTTGGCCTACTCTGCTATGCCGCAAAGCTTGCTCCCTGAGGGCCAGCCACAACCAATTTGTTTCCCATAAAGCCTAGGCCACTTTTTGTTGTTGTTGTTGTTGCTGTTGTAGTTGAGACGGAGTTTCGCTTTTGTTGCCCAGGCTGGAGTGCAATGGCGCGATCTCGGCTCACCGCAACCTCTGCCTCCCAGGTTCAAGCGATTCTCCTGCCTCAGCCTCCCTAGTAGCTGGGATTAAAGGCACCTGCCACCACGCCCAGTTAATTTTGTATTTTTAGTAGAGAGAGGGTTTCTCCATGTTGGTCAGGCTGGTCTTGAACTGCCAACCTCAGGTGATCCGCCTGCCTCGGCCTCCCAAAGTGCTGGGATTACGGGCGTGAGCCACAGCGCCCAGCCAAGCCTAGGCCACTCTTAAGATACTTGATTACATTCTGTCTTGCTATACTGGTTCCCTTGGCACAGATTCAGCTTTCTTTCATTCCTTCCTTCCTTCCTTCCTTCCCTCCTTTCTTTTATGTTTTAGAGACTAAGTTTTGCGTTGTCATCCAGGCTGGAATACAGCGGTGTGATCATGGCTCACTATAACCTCCAGCTCCCAGGATCAAGTAATCTTCCAGCCCCCGCCTCCTAAAGTGTTAAGATTACAGGCTTAAGCGCCCGTGCCTGGCCCCAGGTTCATCTTTCTAGCCCCCATTCCTCTAAGGCCCTGTTCAGAACTTTCTAATTGAGCAGGTTCTCAACGATTTCACATGAGTGCAAGGAGGCCTGACCCGTAATAACAGCACTATACAGAATGAAAACAAATAAGGACAATGGGCCAAGGGGGAGAGGGCCTGTCTTAAAAACACCAAAGCTTCCTTAGAGAACAAGGCAGGGATGCAACGCGTCACTCTAATGACACCTTAGCTTTAGGCAGGGCTTGTGAAGCATGCTCCCAAACGTCCAGGGGGCTCCTGTTTGGCCTTAGTGCTCCAGGGGAAGATGTCACATCTACCATGTGGGTCAACTCTGTCACCCTTTCCTCCAAACAGCTGGACTCTAGCTTTAAGAGACACTAAAGGATTTGCTGCTGTTGGACTTTGGGGCTAAAAGAAAACAGTCCCCATATAGAATCATGGGGTGTTGACTTTAATTTTTTTTTTAATTTTAAAAAAGAAAACAGTCCCCAAATGGTAGGTGGCCACACAGCTGTCCTGGGACTGGGATATGAGGACACCAGACACTCCATCTTCACCCTGTCAGTACCTATCAAGACTGGCAATGGTGTCAGAGCAGTGAGTCAGATGGCCATGGTGCCTGCCCTCCTGGGGATTATAGTCCCACAAGGAGGAAAAACAACAAATAGAAGAGGAGGTATGTGGAGGGTGCAGTGAAGGAAAAGCCTACAGTGCCAAGAGGTGATGTATTACAACTGGATGGGTGGTCAGGGAAGGCTTCCTTGAAGAAGCAAATAGCAGAGAGATCAGCTCATTCAGAGCTCCCGAGAAGACAGGTGGGTTGGCCTGTTTGGGAACTAAAAGCACCGTATGTGGCTGGAGCTGAGGAAGGTAAGGGGAATGTGGCTGAAATCAGCTTGCAAAGGTGGTCACACTGACCAGACTGGTAGATCATAGGAAAGTCTTTGGACATTATCTATGGGTCACTGGATGCCTCTGAAGGCTGTTAAGCAGAGCCAGGGCAAGATGAGGATTTGTGTTTTAAAATATCTCTCTAGGGACAAGCAAGGTGGCTCACACCTATAAACCAAACACTTTGGGAGGCCAAGGCAGGAGTACTGCTTGAGCCCAGGAGTTCAAGACCAGCCTGGGCAACATGGCAAGACTGTCTCTACAAAAAAATAAAAACTAAAAAATTAGCTGGATGTGGTGGCTTGTGCCTATAGTCCCATTATATTTTTTTAGTAAAATAAAATATCTCTCTGGGGGGTGGACTGGAAGAAACAGCACGAGTGTGGGGAGACCAGTTATGAAGCTGTTGCCAAAGTCCAGAGGTGAGAAGATGGTGGCCAGGACTCAGGTGGTAGTGATGGAGATGAAGATAAATAGATGAATTCAAGAAGCATTTCAGAAGTAGAACTGAGAGGTCTTGATGACAGATTGAAGGGAATGAGGAAGAGGACAGTATCAAGGATGACTTGCAGAATCTGACTTGAGCAACTGTGTGGACTAGGGAGCTATTAGGGAATTAAGAAACAGCATGAGACAAGGCGCGGTAGCTCATGCCTGTAATCCCAGCACTTTGGGAGGACAAGGCTGGGGGGATGGCTTAAGCCCAGGAGGTTGAGACCAGCCTGTGCAACATAGGAAGACTCTCATCTCTACAAAAAAAAAAAAACTTTTTAAAATTAGCCAGGGCACGTGCCTGTGGTCGCAGGGGAAGCCAAGGCAGGAGGATCAGTTGAGCCTAGAGACTAGCCTGAGCAACATAGTGAGGCCTCGTCTCTACAAAAAAAAAATACAAAAATTAGCCAGACATGGTGGCGGGTGCCTGTAGTCTCAGCTACTCGGGAGCTGAGGCAGGAGGATCACTTGAGCCTGGGAGGTTGAGGCTGTAGTGACCCATGACCATGCTACTGCACTCCAGCCTGGGTGACAGAGTGAGATCCTGTCTCAAAAAAAGAAAGAAACATGGCAAGAGGAGATTGGGGCAGAGGTAAAGAGTTGGGGGTAGGAGGGGAGAATGAAGAGTTCAATTCAAAACTTGTCAAGTTTGATATATCTTGATACATTTAAGCAGAAATCTGAAGTGGGGAATTGGTTATGTGGTTGTGACACTCAGAGGGGCAGTCTCTTAGCTAAAGACAAAATTGAGAGCCATTGGTATACAGATAGTAACTGAAGCTAGAATAGTGGATCAGACTCTTCATGGGAAGACAGGAAGAAAATGCAACTTGAGAAGAGGACCCAGGACAGAGCCCTCCAGCAACTTCAGCATTTATAGGTGGAGGAGAAGCAGGCAAGCGGGTTGACAAGCAGTAGCCAGGGAGGTAAGAGAAAAGCAGTAGCCAGGAAGATGTGGTGTCCAGGTGTTATGGAAACCAACCAAAAAGTTTTCAAGCGGGGAGGAATCGTCAGCTAGGTCAAATGATGTCAAGAGATTAAGTAGGCAAGGACTAAAGAATGCCACATGGGCTTTCCACTGTGGCTCATGCCTGTAGTCCCAGCAATTTGGGAGGATG